TCCTCCTATCGCACCGTTCACTCATCGGGAGGTTCAACTAACGATAGCCAACATAAACCCTAAAAAAGCTCCGGGTCACGACCGAATAACCGGCAAGATGGTCAAGGAACTTCCGAAGAGATGCATTTCGTTATTGACGTCAACCTTTAATGCAATACTACGTCTGGGTCACTTTCCCACCCAGTGGAAAGTTTCCCATGTTATCGTAGTGAACAAACCTGGAAAACCAGAACATGAAATAGCATCATATCGTCCCGTTAGTCTTTTACCAATCCTTTCAAAATTATTTGAAAAATTATTTCTTAATCGTCTCGAACCGATATTGATAGACTTAGATATTATTCCCGAACACCAATTCGGATTTAGAAGATACCATTCAACTATACAACAAGTCCATAGACTGGTGGACTACATAAGGTTAGACCTAGAGAAAAAAAGATACTGTTCCGCAGTCTTCCTGGACGTCAAGCAAGCCTTTGACAAAGTTTGGCACGTTGGCCTCCGCTATAAATTAAAAAAACTACTCCCACATTCATACTTTACGGTTCTACAATCGTACCTAGCCGATAGGAAATTTAAAATTAAATTCCAGGATGTAATCACTCCAGCCTATAAAATCCACTCAGGTGTGCCCCAGGGAAGCGTTCTAGGACCGATACTATATCTCATCTACACTTCAGATATACCAACCACTCCAAATGTCACAACAGCCACGTTTGCAGATGACACGTCAGTCATGGCCTCACACAATGATCCCCTGGAAGCAACCAAAGTTCTTCAAGAGCATCTGGACAATTTATCATACTGGTTTAAAAATTGGAACATGCAAGTAAACGAAAAGAAATCTAAACATGTGACCTTCACCCTACGCAAGCAAACATGTCCTCCAGTTAAGATGAACAACATTGTAATACCCCAAAGCGACTCGGCTAAATATCTTGGAATGATCCTGGACAGAAGAATGACATGGAAAAGACACATCCAAACCAAATGTAAGCAGCTGAGGCTTAAAATGAAAAAACTGTATTGGCTGATCGGTAATCGCTCTAAACTAAAGATGGAAAACAAGCTACTATTATACAAGATCATCCTCAAGCCTGTCTGGACTTATGGTATACAGCTATGGGGCACGGCCAGCAACTCCAATATCAAGATCATACAGAGATTCCAATCTAAAACGCTACGTAACATATGTAACGCCCCATGGTACGTTACAAACGACGTAATACATCGTGACTTGGCTATACCTTTAGTAAAATGCGAAATCACCCAATTTAGCAAACGCCACATAAGTCAGTTAACGTGTCACAAAAATCAATTAGCTAGAAAGTTGTCAAATCCAAATAAATCTCCATTTAGTCTAAAAAGATTCGCTCCCCTGAACCTGGTACGTCGATTCTCCTGATAACTCTAACTCCATCATTGTATTACACATACTGCAAGTAATCAACCGATGCAACGATCTACGTATTTGCTTTTCATGTCCCCCATAAAGCTATCATTTTTACTTATAATTCCTGTTCCGTCGTGGAACAAGGAAGACCCGTTACGGTCTTCCAACAGCCAGGTCTTAGGGTCGAATAATTCGGCATCGGAATTTTCCGCTCCATGCCTTCAGCATGTTTGAATGCTTTACCTTTTTTCTTTGACTTCTCGTGTCGCGGAACACGAGAATCCTGGAAATCCCTAATTTAACGAAATTAAGCGACGGCCCTTAAGACTTGGCTGACAAAGGTCTGAGGGCTCCACGTGGTCCGCACACGTTGGAAGCCTCAGGCCCTCGCTAGGGGTAATAAACGAACGATGGGGCGACCAGCGCGCGGGTGGACCCCAGGTACCCCACTTTGGAGGAGAGGGTTTCCTCCACTATCGTTGTTTTTGGGGGAACCTTCCCTTTCTCCAAGGTCACGGATTCGCGAACCAAGGGAACGCCCTTGGTCAAAAACAGCCAATCATATTTGGCGAGCTCCCGATTTTTTCCTAAGACCGATCTTAGGAAGATCGAGGAGCTCACTTCCTTGCGAGATCTGAGAGACACGGGTTCTCTCTAAAAACACTTCCTCTCGAAACATCGAACAGTTTGGTTCGAGATCTCAGAGACACGGTTCTCTTCAAAACCTCCGTCTAACCGATTCAAATCAACAACACGCCACGGTTCTTTTCGAAACGTCGAACGTCATAGACACGACTCTTTTCCGCTCGTGCAACTTAAACAGTTGCCCAATATTAATTTGGCGGGCAACACGTGTCGTAGTCACGAGACGGCCTTACAACCCGTCGGAAATACAATTTCGATCGCGACAATTCCCATTTGAGGAATTGATTGTAAAACTCGTGAAGTCAATAAAAAAAAAAAAAATGTTTGGGGTACGTGACCCACTGAATGTTTGGGCTACAAAGAATGCATGGGAAAGCGTGATTGGGAAAGAGAGCATGGGTATAGATGAGGACAGAATGAATGGTTTAAATAAGGGTACAAGGGCGCGGGCAACACAGTTCCTTCGGGAGAGTTCCGTTAAGAAAGGGTTTACGAGAGCATCATTTTAGCCAGTTTAGAGAGTTTTTACGTTATACAATATTCGGCCAGTCCTTTATGTTATTAGAATATTATTAGTGGAGCCCCGTTGCAATATGTAGATGTCTTATCGATAAAATCTCGTTGCAGAAACTTTCTTCGAATGTTATAATTTATCGAGGAAAATGAAGAAATGTTACGATATGTCCATATTCGTTTACAAATTACTAATTTGCAGTCTATAAGTTATCTCATGTACAAACCTATTTGTAAATTCGAACAAGTTGAGTAAGTGTTAAAAACATTAACAGAGTCTTAGAATACCTATATAACCAGACAAATTATCCAGAATTCGATATATAAAAGATGTGCTTGCTATCTTTCCGTATATAGATACTCAATTATTTAAAAAAATTCTTTTCTAAAAACTAGTATATCGTAATAATTTAAACGCATAATGGAGACTAAAAAGTACAATATTTTTGGTGTCGAAATAAGTAGGGGCTTTGGATTTCTATCGCACACAATTATTATTATATGGACCACGCGGCAGCATACAATATACACCAAGCAGACAAGAGAAGCACACTCACGTAAACGCGCTACATACTTCAGCTCTTTTCACACTTATGAAAGTTATTACTATCTTTTTATCCTATATTATAAACTTTTCTTCTCTACCGAAGTATTTTTATACCGAATGATCTGCAAATAATGATAATTATTAATTTCGGAATTTTAAATTAATGCAAATACTGTAATAATAAAGTTCTAATTATAATATAAAACATAGTATAATATGTTACTTCCGGAAAGACTGGATTTTGAAAATTTATACCTATTAATGACTTCCCATTGATAATATTGATAGATGTGTACAAAGAAATAATTATGTTTTAGCGTGTACGATAGGGAACTATAAATATGTACAACTATAAGTATAAATTATAGGATGAAGAAGCAAAAGCAATATTTTCGTGCGATATTTATTAGGTTGGTGATAAAATAAATAAACGAAATATTACGAAGACTCGCTCAACGCAAACGGGGAAATGAATCGCGAAGAGATGCTATGCCGTGAATATTGAAACAACGAATAATCAAAAGAAATCGCAAAGGGACGCCACACCGTTCAGTTCATTTACTAACATGATTTCATTAACTTCGTTCACTCGAGCATCCGCCCCAAAATATAAATAAAGATCAAAATAAATAAAGATACTTTCACTGCCAACCTCTCTCTAATTCGCACATTCCGAGTCACATATTCATGCACGTTACATAATAAATATAAAAAGAGAAAAAGGAGTAGATTGCATCGTGATTCGCAAGTGGTTGTCCTTGTGATAATCCTTCTTCGTTCTTTTCTCTTAACAAAATAAGTTTTGTTCTAACTAATTTTAGTAGTTATGCGGTTTAAACGAGTCAACTATGATGATTTTGGGTTTTTCATATATCGCCTAAGTTACTCACCCGAATAATTGCTAAGTAGTTTTAGCAGTTGCTCGTGTTTTTCTAAAAAAAAGTTACGAAAATTATAAATTTGTAAAAAATTTAGTTGAAAAGGGAAAGGTTACGAAAAGTAGTTAGCAATGCGTGACACAGGTTAACACTCTCTGTTATCGACATGTGTAATTCTGCGCATAGAATCTCAGTATGCGTAAATGTCATAAATATCGTGTCGCGCTCATTCCGAGCAGTAAGCGGCCCTCCGTTTGCTCACGATTTAAATATAGCTGAACGTATAACCAATTGCACACGCTATACACATGTGGTCGTATAGCGAGTGCGATACAATACCTATTTGCGAGACTGTCCGTTTACCGTATTAGAATTAATTCTTCAAATTCATACGAATCGAGCTATATTAAATCGCGCGTTACAGCTTGCCAACACGATTAACGCGTGAAAAACTAAAAACTAAAAATCAAAAATCTAATGGCATATGCGTAATTCTAAAAGGGCATGATCGGTGTTGCCAAATGTCGAAAATATGTACTTACAAAATATGTATTTTTTCAAATTTCTAATGTTTATAACTTTTTGACTAAGCACAAGCGATGGCTAAAACTACTTAGAGGCTATCGGGGAGGACGTCCTTGACAGTGTATGTCAAGGTTATTAGACTTGATTTGCTCCAATTTCTGTAATTACCAAAAATCTTTTGTATCGATAAATTATGTATCTTAATAAATTACGTAAATGAGTTACTTTATCTAAATTTCAGCAAAAACGATTAAAATTACTTATTCTCTAGGAACTTTTCAAAGTATCAAACTATTTATGATCGAAATTTTTATCATATTAACGATTCTTTATATATATATATATATATATTAAATTGTTACAATCTCGCATATATCGATCAATATTAGATGCGACATTACTGCTAAATCAAATGAAAAAGACTACGTTAAAAATATTCTTGCGATTATTGAGAAACTTTCATTGTAATATGTATGTAATAACACAATTTTGATTGCAGATCATAGAAGTTCTCACGCACATTCACATGGCATATCTCGAAGTCATAACCGATTGAGTGCTCTAGTAGGAACGGATGACAATGAAAATAATGAAACTTATAGGCCATCTACGCCTCAAGTGAAGAGGACATATGGTCACACACATGATGCAAGCCAAATGAATATGCGCGGTGTATTTCTTCATGTGTTCTCGGATGCACTAGGATCTGTGATTGTAATAGTATCTGCTTTAATTGTTTGGTTGACGAAGTGGGAATACAGGTAATTAAATATTGCACAGCATATCTTATAACATCGTGCATAGAAGAGACATATGCAAATAAGCAATTACAAATGGTTTTAAATCGTTGTTAAACCATTTTATCATTTTATTTGCTCTTCTTTATAGTTATTAATTTTTTCTTTTCTTTTTTTATCTATTTAACATCGCATCATATAGGAGAGGGTGATTAACGACGTTAAGAATGTCAATGTTGTACAGTTTATGCTATTACAAATCGCTATGAATTATGTTAATTGTTTGGACTATATTTCTTGAATTGAATTAACGTTTGTTATAGTCTCTTGTATATTCGTAAGGAGTTCGATGCCTTTTTTTTTATCGACTGCATTCCTAAGGTCATTGCAAATTTTGTTTTGTCTTCCTCGGTTTGAGTAATCGATCGGGTAATCGGATAGAAGACGTTTCATCGTGATTTCTCTCACATAGTATCTCACGTTTCTCAGGTTCTTTATTTTTGATTAAGCGAACGTGGATGCAGTTACTGTGACCAGTTCTTACAATTAACTTCGTTAATATAACCTGTTCCTTTCTATTTGGAGCTAGTATTGGTTAGGCTCTTTTCGAATATTGTTTCAATTTTGCTTTTACTAATTATTTCGAGTTTATTATAACGAACATGTTGCGAAGATAAATTAACGTGTCTTTATGGATAAAGTCCTACCTTGTTGTGTCCAATAGTATTTTCACAGTTGAATCTCTATTTTTCGTTCTAGTATTTTTTGTATTATACGTAAACAGCATCTCTAGTATTTCTTCAGCTAATTGTAAGGGATTCGATCTTCGTTCTCTGAATAATATATTTATGTTTCTCAGGTTGTTTTATATTTTAAAATACCATTAGAATGGCATATAATTTACACGAGTTATTTTAACCTTAGAGTGGTGATTACGTCAGATTGACTCCGTATCGTTAATAGTAACTATTGTATTGTACAATACAAGTATCGTACAGTATTCGTCATTACTGACGATACGAAGTCATTTTGACTTCACGTTACCACTAGTACCGTGAAAATAGTGGTCACCATTTGTCCAATATGCAGATAATTGTATTGTTAAGTGTTGCATCTGTTTCATTCGAACATTGGAATGGTTCATCTACGGAAAGTATATATTGTTATACACTTCTATCAGTATTATCGAATAGCTGTACCTCAGCTAGCCCCGATTTCGGATTTCTTTCATTCTCGCATAAGTTACCACCTTGGATCATTTTCGGTGATTACATCTTTCAAGGGGGGGATCTTAAATTGTCTTCTTACTCTGATGTTTGGAAATGGTATCCCAATAGCTTCTAAGCACTCGTGTATCCTTATGTCGATTGGTCGAGACAGGTTCCTTATTGATAATTAAAATTCGATAAGCTCGATTAATGGTTAATGCTGCTTGCGAAATTGCGTAGATCAAGCTTACTTGTTTTTTTTTCTTTTTTTTTTTTTTTTTTTTTTTTTTTTTTTTTCTAATCCCAAGAGATAGTGGAATCATGTTAGCTTTACTTACAAAGGAACATACCGAAATATTTAATCGCCGATTTGTATGAAATTTTGGACAATTGTAGAATAGCCAAAAATATTTTACCCGTACTTTTTTTTATCGTTCACATTGAAAAGGTGAAAATCGACTTGAAAGCAGAGGTGGTAAACATATGTAGTATCGTTGGTTTAAGGACCCTAAACGTAAAAAGGCCATAAAAGAGAATGTTGCATCCCGATCACTGCAACTCTCACTCTCGAAGTTTTGCGGGATTGTAATGTCCACTATGCTGATGCGATAGTGCTCAAGGGATTTGTCCTATTCTTACTTAATTGAAATAGACCAGGTTAGGGTTTCAACTGATTAATTATGCAACTCTTCTCGATTTGAACTGATTTTGCGTGATGTTGTGTGCGGACTCACTTCCATTTCAACTGATTGATCGTGGACTGCCCGTTCGACTTTGGTCTCAGTGGTTTTATAAATTTGCATGTGCTCTGATTTCGGTTGGTATGAAATGTGAATAGTGGATGCGTGTTTTTCTATTGGTTATGAGTAAGGTGTGTATGAGTTTCGACGTCTTTCAGTGGTGGTAGATGTTTAAACATATTCAGCCGGTATTGGTCAGGTGACTGACACGAGTGTCCTCGAGTTGCACTTAGCTATGGCTGACAATAAAGTAATAAAACAGTCTCCCACTTGGGACGTGCGGTCCTAGAAACGTAGCAATTATATCGCAAGATCTCGAATTAACATCGATATTTTATGAATAAAATTTATCTTTGAAATTTGAGCGCAATAAAGTTGTAGCTTCTTTGGTTATTTCTTTAAACTATATATTGGTTAAAGCATTATCGTTCAATTTTAACAATAGAAAGTTGTTTATCGCTATACGGTTGTTATTCGTGGTAAGTTATCGTCTTTATCTTGGAAAAAGTAAATTTCGGTTATACCACTAACAATAAGGTATAATCTTCACCAGACTATAATTTGATATTGATCGATATTTCGGCTCCTTTTGGGTCTTCTTTGAATCTAAAAAACATTTCTACTTCCCCAGATATATTAATTTTACTTGTTAACGAATTAAATATCAGGTATACGTATGTGTATTTGAAATAAATTATACGCACTCTTACGAAATTTTTAAGCCTTAACCATATTAACGTTATTAATAAATCAACGCTCTCTCTTAAACTCACTCTTCTGTATACACGTGACAATCGTTCTACATAACCTCTAAGCAACCACGTCATCTACTACACGTCGAATTTAAATCAATCGAAAACAACATCGCAATTTGTTGAAATATTTTAGATGTTTTAGATATTTTAAATTTTAAATTTTAAATTTTAAATTTTCTCATTGCAGCTATCACAAAATGAAATTTCCTAATAATAAATCACATTGGAGCGTTAATTGCTGACTTTTATGAAATTTTGTACAATTTCAATCTAAAAATAACTAATTACAGACAGTTGTCATATATTTTCCTCTTTTATTTTTCCTTATATTTTTTATTGTCCATGTCAAATCGTTTCTACATTATACGTATTAAAACCTGTTTAATATAATACCTAAGATATTACACGGTTTGAGTGAAAAGTTTAAGAGGTTCCTTTAGAAGACTAAAAATAGGTTATTTTTTAACATCTTTTTTCTACTGAACCAACTAAAGCAATTTTCCGAATTTTGTTACACACTTTAATATATGAAAGATTGTAAAACATTTTATTTAATTATTCCAAATATTAAGAACATACATGTGTAAGAATGTAGGATATCTTTAGACTTCGCCAGGTATAGAGGTCCCGTTAGAGTCTGGCGGCCAGACGAGTCTCGGGAAGTCGGGGCCAGGTCACGTGAGGTAGCCTGGCGCAACCCTGGTTTTCCCCATTTAAACTGGGGTTCACGCGTCCGCGGGCACCTCTCGGGAAGGGTCCCCGTGTGGGTGACCCTTCGGAGAGCCTAACCTGAAAGAGGAATCCCTTCCACCCCAGAGCGTTACGTGGGGGGAGTTTTCTTCTCCTTCGGGAGAGGTCCTTGCCTTCCAGACGGGCTTAAAAGGGCCCGCTCTGGAAGATAGAGAGAGTTGAGATAGTTCCTTTGGGACAGTTCCTTCGGGTGAGTTTCGTTAGACAGTGCCTTTAGAGTGTTCCGTTTAGAGAGTTTTACGTTAGAGAATATTCGGCCGGTTCTGACTATTAGATAATTAGATAATTAGATCATTAGAGACCCCCTTACAATTTCGGAAGTGGAATTATTCGTTTATTACAATTCAGAAGTGGGATAATTCGTTTATTACACATGGACCATCGGGGTACGTTTGCAGGACATTCTGTTTATTTCAGGACGATTAATTAAAGAAACTTGGAAACGTTTTTACGAAAAACTCTTATCGATTAGCGAAGCGTTCGCTTTTGGAAAGACTTTTAATTTTCATTGAACGCGCGCGGCGGGGGAGATCGAGTAGTCAACACTTAACAATTTTTTCACAAGTGTATTATTAATATTATAGATCAATGAATTCACTTTGTAATGTACTATGTGCTTACATACAAAAAAATATGCTATATTAACGTACACGTTCACCTAGCAGAAGTTAATGACCATTATACTATGTTTCTCTCGAAGTAGGATAAGTTTTTATTTGAATTTTTTAAAACGAACTATAGTTTAGGAAATAATTGAGTGCGAAACTCCAAACCCTAAACACTCTGTGTATCGATTTTGCACTCGAATTGGAGTCTAGCTTCAAATTTTTTAAGTTAAGCTCATAAGGTAGTTGTCACATAAAAACTGATATGTATGTAATTTTTAGAATTTTGATATTCCCTTTCAACTATGTATCCTTTGAAAATTCCAGAACAATATCTCTCTTTATTCTAACGCATAGAGTATATTAAAACGATGATTCGTTTGCGATATAAAGATTATTTAATCAAAGGTTTACAGATACAGCCATATTTGAGTTTCCTTACTATTTCCTGTACCAAAGATAGAAAGGATGACTTTTACGTTATTTCTGATTTACTCGTCCCTTAACCGTTTGCACTACGATAACGTAGTAACATTATGACTTGTCATAAGTTCTTGTCGAATATTAGAATTATATATTACAGTTATCATACGACCAAAATTATGTTTAACGTGTTTTAACAATGCATAAAACTTGGAAAAATTCAAAAATTTTTGTGCAATTTTATCGTGAATGGAATGGAGTTATAGTGGTATAGATGATGAAATAAAATTAAATACGTTTCCAATACATGATTTTTCACGATTAAATTATAGTACGTAACTGGTTAAACGGAGTGTGTCGATGTTATTAATTATAATTTAATTATATTAATTATAATCTTGGATATTCATCGTTGTTTGTATATTATTAGCAATTTTTATAACAACTTAAATAATTAATATAAATTGTATCGTTATTTGTTGGTGTTTCCAATGCCGATAAATACGAATAGGGACAAAATTAACTAATAATAGAAAAAATATTTTCCTTTAGAATCGAGGATCTGAATGAAAATATTACGTTATATTCAACTTATTATATAGCTTCTTACTTATCTTTTAATGTATAGTTTTTCATGTAGAATCCCCCCTCTATTTGCGGTGATAATTAATTATAACGCATTTACGCTGCAGCTGATTTTAAATATGACTCTTCGTTCAATTTTCAATATACAATATACTTCGTTCAAATTTCAATATATTTTGGTATTTCATCATTTATGGATGTAAAACATACTAACATTGCACTGATACATCTAACAGAATTAAGGTATTTCAAATACATAATGAAATCTATCTGGAAATAATAATATTATTGAGAATATTTCGGACCTTATTAAATAAATATATAATAATTGTTCATCTACATCATGATTTTATTTTTATGACGACGTTTCTTTTTCTTTACAGATTTTACATTGATCCAGCTCTCTCGCTTTTATTAGTTATTCTTATTCTACGATCAGTATGGCCATTACTACAAGAATCAGCGCTAATTTTACTACAGACTGTACCTACACATATCCAGGTAACTTGAATCGTTATTAAATTGTACGATATTGTAAGAAACGGACGAGGTTGTTAAGAAAGCGCCAAAACACTTGCACAGAATCTCTGATTAATAAATAATGCTATAATATGATTGGAAGTACAAAAGATGACCTGTCGTTGTACACACTCTGACACTAATTCTAACTCTACTACTCGGTAACACGCGCTATCTATTCCAAAACACACTCTATTCAAACGCTATCTACTGATAACTGATAAATAACACTGACTCTAACAACTGGACACTGCCCTCGCTCGCATCCTTTGCTCTTATTTAAACTAGCATTTTCTCTTCTTTCAAGCTCATGCTCTTTTCCTGTATCATGCATTTCCCACGCACAACTCGTAACCTTGCCCCCGATGGGCCACGTACCCTAAACTTTCAAATGCAGACCTAGACTTTCACTCTTCGCTCGCATTTGAAACTGCCATAAATATTTTTTCCACTCGATCCTCTTCCACACACACCATCCACGACCTTGAATACTATGCATGCCTTTGCACGCGGTCACTCGTTCTTCCGCATATGTCACGGTCATTAGCCTCGAACGCTCGGGCTAAACGCGAGGCTGTTTTTGGAGAACGGCCCAAGCGTTCCCATGCATTCGCTTAAACCTAAGACTATACATTCATTCTTTTCACTACTAGGTTCCTTAGGATGTAAAATATTCTACAATATCATATAATATCATTAACATGAATTATTATAATTAAATTCATAATAAATTATTTATTGATTTTCTTTACTATATATTTATATTTTTTAAATAATTTCTACTGAATACAACGCATGAACTCCAATGACCTGGTGACTTATGCACCATAGTACGATTTTAAGTAAGTTTTTGATAGGCTTCTTACGGTTTTCATTATACGCTTTTGTATATATTCGTAAATGTTCTTAATTGTTTGAAGACAATTTTTGATTGCTATTAAGAACAAGTCGTATAATCGTGTATATGGCAGTAAATTTTGTTCCGTTAATGTTATATTATATCTGGTATAGAAAGAGTAAATTACGTGTAACTATTTTCCTGTGATGTGGTCAGTATTCGTCATGTCGCGAAACGTTGACATGGTTTTAGTCGTAGTATGCTATATAATTTTGTCTACAAGATAAAATAGACGTAAACGGAGATTTTGGATACGACTATCGTTGTTAGCTAGAAGACAATATAGCGGTAGAGATTTTTTCACGTATCTTGCTAGAGATGAGATTCACAAGTACATTAACGGGAACTACGCAAACATCGCATAAATCAGATTATTTTATTATATTATTACGTATCATTTTGCTGCCCGCATCAAGTGAATTATCGTAGTTAAAAATAGTCTGATTTCTATCACGTCATCAATCGTTTGGATTTATTTTAATGGGAAGAGTAAATCAGTAATTCATTTATAACACTTTTAGCAAGATAATATAAAAATTAAGAAATGTTTGAAGTGTCGAGTCTCAAGTGTTACGGCTCGATGTACTGTACTTTTTCAGCTTCTTCTTTACACTGCATTACTCCTCTCGACTTGGTTAATCGTACCCTACTGTATTAAATGATTTCTCATCCAACATTTTTGCACGAGTTATCGAAGCATTACCAGAGTTTTTTTTTAAACAACATTTCGAGACTTTAGAGTTTGATAATATTTCAAGCTCACCCCGAACAGTGTTAAACTACTTTGACCCTCGTTCCCATCCTCTGTGTCTTTTATTACAGTTGGATAAACTATGTAATGTAATCTTCTTTGATTTTTTAAATTCATTCGAACATTTTTATTTATATTTTCTAGCATGTCATAAAGTTTTGCTACGTTTGTTATATAGCACTTTTCTTACATAGCGCCTTACATAGCATTTTGACCCCTTGTCCTACGGTTTACACTCCGAGCCATTTCGTATTAACGTGGCGAAAAATAACACGTAACAAAGACAGAAAGACATCGACGAAAATTCACCATGACCCGTGTCGTTTACTTTGGGCCCCATCTATAAACCACGTGTGACACTCATGTTTGACCCATTTTCCTTTTCCAAATGAATCTCACGCGATATTGTAGGCGAACTGGTGTTAATGAATTCTAGTAATATGTTATATATCAAATTTGTTGCATAACAATGTTATACTATGTAGCGTGGTCGTAGCTTTAGTCTCGTCGTCAAATTGTTTGCATTTTCCGACAATTCTTATTGTAAATTTGAGAATTAATCATCTTTGAATATTGAAATTTCGAATACTTAAGCGTAAAGATGTCACAAATTATGATGCAAGTAGTACTGGCGTAATAATCCGAATTAAAGACATTAAGTTTAATATTATGGTAAATGTAGGTCGTAACTGTAAGCGTTATACCAGAGAAAGGGACAACAATTGGACCCCAAAGAAATACCAAGTTGAATCGACTATTGTATGTATTGTATGTCGTGAAGTAATGGAGAGGATAATGCAATATTTGCTACAAAAAGTCACCCATAAAAGATAAATTAATCGATCTATTTTGATCTCGAAAAAAGTTGTACATAGCGATAAATATAAATCTGGATTGTTTGGTTACAAAAAAGGAATAAAATGTTTGCATTTGATTAAACGAAGTGCTAGAATAAATATATACAGCGCTGGACAAAGGTATTGGCACAGCATGGTTGTTGTAGTACAAGTACTTATAACTACTAAACAAATTGATTTGAAGGAAAAACTTTTTCACATATTCATTTATTATCAATTCTAGTTTATTGCATAGTAGAAGCAATAATTTAAATACGTTGATTAACGAAACAATAAGAAAAATGCATTTATTGAACATTTTATGGGTGGACAAAAGTATTCGCACACTCGAATAAAAGCGTTTAAAAATAACTTGGAATTAAATATACGTTACGGGCGAACTCTCCACCGCGGTAATCCCACAGAACGAGCCGCCGCGACGAAACAGTGCACAGTCAGCGAGACTGATCGTCAGAGGCATTTGGTTTGCTGAGTATTGAGGTCCGTAATAAACAAATATAACAAAATACTAAAATACTGTAGCAAAACAAAATACTCACGCTGCATGCCCAGAGTGAGATAGTTCAAGTGCAATAACTGCATATGCTCGTCGTATGTACAATACGTGGCATTTTATGGAGATCGACTATAGGTCACTCGTAGTAGCGAAAGGGTTAAACGCGATTTTCATTCATAGCGACGCTTACAATAAAGACTTAAAACAGTCCACCACTTAACTTGGGACGTGAGGGTCCTAGAACCGAAACAGCGGGCGCATATTTGTCTTTCTCGGCTATAGTAACGCGGTTTACGTGGGACACATTTACGTGTCCTTCGGTCTTATCGGTTGTTTTCGTCAAACGCATATACGCGTTCCTCGGCCAAACTGATGGCTGCCACAAAAGGCATATATGTGGTGCTCGTCCGCAAAGGGTTAAGATAGTATCGTTGGCTTTTTAACCCTTTCGCTGCTACGGCCGCGTATTGCACATACGACGAGCATCTACACTTATTGCACATCAACCATCTCACTCTGGACATGCAGCGCGAGTATTTTGTTTTGCATTATTTGTTTATTACGGACCTCAATACTCAGAAAACCAAATGCCTCTCGGTCGGCGACGATCGGTCTCGCGCACCGTGTGCACAGTTTCGTCGCGGTGGCTCGTTCTGCGGGAGTACCGCGGCGGCGAGTCCGCCCGTAGCGAAAGGGTTAATAGAATAAAATAAGCTTATAAATAGAATTACGGCGACTAGCTATGATGAAACAGCTCTTCTGATCTCTTTCTTAAAACTGGCTGACTGCCGCACTCAGAAACTTACTTCCGCTCGTCTATCGCACTCGGCTCTGTCATACACATCTAATTCGATCCTCTTGCGCGCGGTCACCTTTCTTCCAAGTTCAAACACTCCCGACACTCCTTCAAGGCCCTACCCATTCCAGTCGTACATACAGTGCCGGACAAAAGTATTGGTACAGCATGGTTGTCTTGTCCAAGTGTTTATAAATACTAAACAAAGTAATTTGAGGGAAAAACTTTTTCACATATTCATTTATTATCCATTCTGGTTTTATTACATAGTATATAATATAAATGCATTGATTCGCGAAATAATAACAAAAATGTATAACAAAAATTATATTTATTGAACATTTATATAATATTTAATTTCAAGCCATTTTTAAACGTTTTTATTTGAGTGTGCCAATACTTTTGTTCACCCATAAAATGTTCAATAAATGCATTTTTCTTATTATTTCGTAAATCAATGTATTTATGTTATTGCTTCTACTATGTAATAAATTAGAATAGATAATAAATGAATATGTCAAAAAGTTTTTCCTTCAAATCACTTTGTATAGTATTTATAAGCATTTGTACTGCAACAACCATGCTGTGCCAATACTTTTGTCCAGTACTGTATTTCCCATGTACCATCAGTGTGGATGGAACACGATAGAAATTCCATTATTGCGTAATGGAGTTTTATTATCACCAAGTTTGAAATTGAAAATTTAATCTGTACAAAGTTTCCTCGTTTGTCTTCAGTTCTTCAACGCATATCTGCATTGTATCTTCGGTTGATTTAACAACATAATGTGCTAATAAAAACATGTTGTTTTAGGTCGATGTCATTCAACAGCGTCTGCTAGAAAACGTTGATGGTGTTTTGGCTGTACATGAATTTCACGTATGGCAATTAGCTGGTGATCGGATTATTGCTTCCGCACATATAAGATGCAGAAACTTGTCAGAATATATGAAAATTGCAGAGCAAGTGAAAGAATTTTTTCATAACGAGGGTATACATTCTACAACGATACAGCCAGAATTTATTGATGTAAGTAAATCATATGTACTCTATTATATACATATATTTTTGTGTAAGTTATTCGAATTGTAAACATGTGCGAAAAGAAATTTACTTGCTTCCAAGAGGGACACATATATTACGGTCTTTTTCTTTCTTCATTTAGATATTAGTTTATTTTATAGGTTAAAAGTACATTAAACGTGAAAGTATTAAAGTAGTCTCTGTAAAACAATTGTCATATGTCTAAAATACATATCGCGGTACAAGAGTTTTAACTCTACGTGGAAAGTGATGATGCGTAATATATTTTATTAGCAACATGATAATAGTTTTTATATTTGCAATATTTTTCAAAAAGAGAAGATAACCTTCCAATTTTTAAAAATCGAATACTACATACTCTTTTAACGTATGAAAATTGAATTCATTTATATATAAACATATTGGTATTTCAGATACAGTAGACTTTCTTTTCATCGCAATGCATCGGTCCGTTGTGGCATCATTTCTGCCTTTATCATTGCTGCCTTCTTCCAAATTCCGTGTATTCTCTGGTTTGAATGGTTTTTTATCTTCCGTAACTGCTGTTTGCCTATCTACCGCGACATTTTCATAGTCTATTAATAATTCATTCCGTAGAATATTATCATCTATTAAATATTCATCTCTGTCATTTATCTTTATAGTTTTCTTCCTGATGTACGAAATATCCCTCATAACATTTCTTCGAAAATAAATGCTTTTATGTAAGCAGTGTCTCTCATGCCAATTGGTTTAGGGGCTTTGATCAATTTTTTATTCTGTCTTATCGATGCTCCAAGTATTTTTGCAAGTAATTTTCTCCCGTAACATTATTGAAATTAATTATTATTTGTCGATCCTTAGGTTCGACTTTAGGTTACCAAGGATGTAACGTTAGGTGGTAAAAGCATAATCTAAATATCGTCATTTGTAAGGGTAGTAGAGTGAGCTGGAGCATTATCAAGGAGGAGAAGAGGTTTAATTGACAATTTTAAACTCGTTAAATGGTGTTTAATTTTCATATATGTATATATCACTGTTTAATCAAACGCTTTCTTTGTTCAACTTTATCTAAATTACATGTTGTATATCAATATTCTACATACATGAATGTTCGTGTCTATTTACATATACGAAACAGTGTCATTGAATTACAATTACTCGTTTATAATTATTGACAGTTATGTTTGAGAAATGTTTGAAAAGTCGTATTTAAAAGAAAACAAAAGTTTGAAAATCCGTGAACTTATTTTGTTGCTGACCTATCCTAGCTGCCATAGCTTAGTTTCTATAAAATGCACGTGACGTAAAATCATTGCTTTCGGAAATACCTACTACTTTGGTAGTCATGACGTGTAATTTGTACCATATCTAATTACTTCTTCGATCTACTACGAAAAGGCTTTGCGTGTTGTCTGTGTGATACCTAAGTTTAAACATTTAAAGAATTATAAGCCTTACCTAAGGTATATCAATTTTTACGTAAGATAATTACTCGAAGATATCGTAAAAGGATATGATTTGTGCGTATAATTTAATCACAATGCGCAATGCACAAGTATACTGTTTGGCATATAATGTGAACAGATTTGAAATTTGGAAACTACTTTATCCAAACATATATCAAATCGCAATGCTATCGCACGTATTTTTTATTTGGACAATATAACCCATTTAATGTAATGTTTTATCATTTGTAGTTCAAAGCCGGCCTTCATCTCGTCAATTCAGTTCGAAGCAAATAAAAAAATAAAAAAAAAAGATAAAGAAAAAGAAAAAAAGGAAGAAAATAAAATTTCGGTCGAATATTTTTAGTTTCTCGACAATTGTGCCAAATTACATCGAAATCGATGATTGAATATTTAAATACGCTTGCTTCGTAAAAAAATATCTAACTGCGCTATGTTATTTTCGTAACATTTTGCAACAATTTTTCAAACGACAGATATCTTTTCATCTTTGTTAGAAAAAAAGAAATTTAATGTATATTATTATAAAGAATACATCACAAATTGAATCTATTATTTTTGTATATAACATAATAAACAAAAATGAGAATTAAGTGGATTCAAAAATTATTTTCTTACGCTTTTTCCTTTAACGACTGACATAGGATTTTCACAAATATATGTTCTAATTGATGTCGATTCTATAATCATTTTTTCTCCTACAACCTGGGATGCAATGTTTCAGACAACTTGCAGTTTTGTTATTTGCGATTTCTATATTTTCACAATTCGTCAGATGTATTGCTAATGTCTTTCAATATTTTTTATTACATATATTACTTTAACTTGTCACAGTTTTAAATAAAATCTATCCGCCTAAAGCAGAAGAATTCTCTCTATTTTTTTTTCGCACACGAGACTACTATATAAAATCAAAGAAAGACCTGCCGTATAGCTATTGCAATTTAAATAAGTTCTATCTAAACGAAAGATACTTTTATGTCGATCGAAACGGTAATTTCACCAAGAAGTGTATAATTTTATATCAGCTGTCGTTCTTCAGGGAAGTATTAGGTAACATTAGGACCTCTCCTATATTAAATTTTTATACCAGATCTGCCACGTAGTGAAAATATGCTTGCAGTCACATGCGTGGGTGATACTTCAATTCTACGTAATTGAACGAAATCGTACGGAAAATAACGAAAATCTTGCTAAGGCAGATAGGCTCAGGTATCTTAACATCCACCTACGCGAAGAAATTAACATGGAAAAATGACATAGGAACGAAAAGGAAACAGTTAGATCTAAAACTGTGAAGTTTCTAGTGGCTTTTGGGATAGAAATCTCTTCTTATATCAGAGAACAAGATATTTGTATATAAAATAGCTATTATATCCATATAGACGTATAGCATACAACTTTGGGAATTTACCAAGAAAAGTAATCCGATGATCGTTTAAAAGCTTAAAAATAAAGCCTCGAGAATAATTACTGCTGCTCCATGATAAACCAACGGAGAAACTCTATGTAAAAATTCAGGAACAAAATACGTCAAAGAAGAAATACAACAATTTGCAACGTCACGTGCAACCACAAATGATCCGTACTGATTCGAACGAACTGACCGAGAGTTCAAAACAACCTCCGAAATTCAAATGATCGAAAAGCATAAAACCGATTGATATCTACGTACAATATAAACAAAAAGGAGAGTAACATATTGTAGGAATTTACCGAATGGCAGGTTCGACACGAAAGGTACGAAAACGCTGTTTTAGGTTAACAATAACAGTATCGTTTATTACTGGGTGAGCTGTCTACAGACTGATTTTCGCTGACTCTTACTGTACTCGTAACTGTAACTCTCGCTCTAACTCTCCTGTCCTCGAACTCTAACTGTAACTATCCTTGTGTCTTCCTGAACGGGCCCTTTTAAAGCCCGTCCAGAAGACAAGCGCCTCTCTGAAGGAGAAGAAGCTCCCTCTACCCCTAGGTCAAGAGTGGAGGTCACCTCGCGTGGCCTGGCCCCGACCTCCTACGGCCCATCTGGCAGCCAGATACTAACGGGTCCTCTAGACCTAAATTCCAGGCGAGGACAGTTTACCCTAATAAACGAGCGTCCCTCGTTTATCATTCCTACAATATGTAATGGAGGAATTATCGAGCCTTATCTGTATGCGAAAATTATACTCGTCTCGAATTTGCTGATTGCTTCTTTAGAACTAGCTGTAAATATTGACATAAAGAAAAGCGTTTCGGTAAAAAATGAAGCAATCCTGAAATATCATTATGTGATCATTTCTGTTCTTCTTTAAGACATTCAGTTAGTTCGTAAATATTTTGAAATTGTCCATTTCTTTTGCAGATTACTCGAACAAGTTATTCCCAACAGTTCATTATGGTACATCGAATTATCAGAGCTAATCATTTGATCTTTTCTCATTTATAAATACGATTCTTCAGCGTTTCCTCTTTTATCGTATATGACATTTTGCAAAACTGATAAGGTTCTCTGCGTCTCCCGTTATTATTTTAAGTCTTCGTTTTAATTTTCACTTTATAATATGGTAACACATTTTGGGTATATGACGACTGTTTCTGTGATTAGTTTACACAGTTTCATGCAACGTGAGTTATGAGTTCGATACAGCATGTAAAATATCACGTATTTCACGAACAGAAATAGCGAATTATTCAAGTGTTCTTTATCTCATGATTCTTTATTTATTTTCTTATTGATAAATACAAAGACTGCAAAGCTTTAACTCAAACTTATATATTATATCAGTAATTTTTATGCGCCTATTTGTGACATGTGAGATATTCAGAATTTATGTTTTAGAGTTTAACGATGAACCGATATCTGAACCGCGGCGTGAATCGCCGGCATCGAAATTTCAAAGTAATTCGGTATTATGCTCGGTTCGATAATTTTCAATGTATTTTCATCCCATAATTGTAGGAAAATTTTACCTTCGAGAGATTTTGTCCAGGATAACCTTGTGGAACAGTACCTTTTCTATTGGGTATCAGATAATTCGATTAATGCTATAGCACGTGGCCCTTGAATTGTGACACATTTTCGAGCCTAAGGAAAATTTCTACGCTTATAATTAGGCGTACTAAGATCGCCTTAACAGCTCATTGTACCAGGAAGACTGATCCACGAATATTTCAGCTATTCGTAAAACTCTAGGTGAAATTCAGAGGTGAAATTTTACAATGGAGACAATTATCGCTAAAATTATCGTAACTGGAAATGTTTGAGATTTTATAATCACATTTTGATTAACTAAACTAAATTAAACTAAAGTTGTCCTATCATATTTTAGGATAAGACCATTTTTATTGTTTTATAGTTCGTTGGGTAGTTACTCTCTCAGATTCTCCTCACAACTTCATCGTACATATATTCCACGTGTCCTAAACTCCTTGCGCGATTATGTCGTACATATATCGTACAAATGCACACCGTAACTAAACTCCATTCACAGCTGAAATGTTGTATATACATATACAGATTATAATCTTTCGTTTATATCTGAATATTTGCGT